GCCCTCGGTAACGGAACTGGGGCCGCTGCCTTTTTAGAGGACCTTAAAGCTCTTTCCTAGCGGAGGTGTATGGGTTCCCCAAAGTTGCTTCGGGGTGCCTGGGGAGAGCCTTTGGCGCGTCCCTCTGCGCTCGCTCTGGCGAGGTGAGCGCTGTCCAGGCTCCCTGCGAAACGTTTCTTGTGACCTAAAGGGAGTGTTGACAGACTGCCCAAGGGGGCTGGGCTGCAAATCAGATCGAAAGCTGCTTCTTTTTTCCGTCACTAAATACTTCTTCATTGAGATTTTTTACTTTTAGTATTGGGATTATTTAACTTGTAGAGGTACAATTGCAAAAAGTTGAGCTTAATCATCTTGAACTCCATGCCTGTGGTTAGAGAAATCACGCCTACGCTCCAGTTAATCAGCCAGCTTTAGTGTACTTCATGAACCTGAGGTGCTGAACAGTTTCCATATTATGAAGAAAAATCAATTTTCCTTATATTTTTCGTAACAAAAGCATGCTGCTATACCACTGTAAACCATCCAGCACTATACTTTATGTTGCATTAGCATAACAATAGAGTATTTTACTCTATCATTTCTCTAATTTTCTCTCTCTACTTGTCTAGAAAAAATAGCGCCTAGATGTCCAATTGAGTAATATGTCATGACCTTTCCCAATATTTTGGATTTTGTTAGCTTGAACATTTTAAAAGAATAATTGACTAACAACATTTTTTCCCTACTTGCATGATAATCTTAACTTTTTCAAGTCATATAATACTTGTTTGTTAGTGTCTGTGTCCCATTAGCGTCCTTTAGAGAAAGTGGATGCAGTTCACTGATGTATTTTAAATTAGGTAGTGAAAAGTCACCTACCTACCCATGCTCAGATGTTTTTAGTATTAACCTCGTTATGCAATACGTAAGAGTTGTCAAACAGACTAAATACAACACAAAAATAAAACCTAGAAGGCAAAATTATGTTTGCTTCCAGAAATAATTTGATTTCTGGAAGAAAACTGCTAATATTTTAGCTGGATATGTATTGCCATTTACTCCTGCATAGTCTGTATCCAGATAGAGCTCTTCATCTAAGGAACACTTGTGTTAACAATACCAAAATTATCCTGACAATTAAGCATAATTATAACGGAGAGTAGAGGATATGGTGCTAAATTTATGTTTTAAATGAAATGCAGCACTTCCCATGTTCATTTTGGGAATGACAAATGTCTGTGCATTGAAAAGTTCCTTTTTGGTTCCTCAGATTCTTTGCTTGCTTGTTCCTGCCCTTACTTTTTTTTTTTTTTTTTAATTCCAGGCTTTGATTTTATGTCTTAGTTGCTTTTTTTATAACTAGTCAAGTGGGTCATCCCTTAATAGTGAAGGAAATGTCAGACATTTTTTCAGGATGTCCGTGGTAACAGACAAATGGAAAAAATGTGGTGGTGTCCACTTTTCTGAGGAAAAGTTGAACCTGAAAGGTTTTTGCCCCCCTCCCCGACTTGGCTTTACCATGAAATGTGGTATGGTCTATCATCTGTAAATGAGCGGAAGACACCTATAGTGGCTTTCAAGCTTTTTCCCTGTGTTGTGCCCTACACACTTCCTGTTGGGAACTGATTTGCAAGGAAAGAGGGTGGCTTGAGTTTTGGGTAAATTCCTTGACAAACTACAAGGAGGAGGATAAACTAGGAAAGGAGGGCTTGTGCTGAGACAGGATGGGAAGGTGCCTCCTTAGTGCGTTGTGGGAGCCCTAACCTCTCTTTGGACTCTCCCTGCGCCTGGCTGGAGTGGCTTCTGAACAGCTCCAGTATCCATCCCTCCTTTAAGCTGTATCCGTGAAGTCACTAAAACCTCAAGCTGTATTTTGTAATTTAGAGAGTTGCTGTGCTAATCTTCCCACACCTTGCAAACCACTCAGTTCTCAAGTTTGATAAAAGAATGGCTATCTGATTATTTGAGAGAACAAGGACTTCAGTCTGCCTCATATTTTGTTTTTGCTTAGAACTCGTTCGGATCAAATCCCTTCCAAGCGTTTGAAAGAGAATGTCCTGGTTTGGGGTTTACTACCTCTCCCTTTTTTTTTTTCAGGCTTGGGAAATCTTACAATTCAAATTCTCAGAGCTTCATACAAAGAGAACATTGTGTCTACTATTTTTCTGAAAGCCTTCTGTGTTTAAGAAAACTCATTCCTTCTGGATGACTCTTACATAAATTATATGGGAGCAAAAAATCCTATTTTTACCCTTTAGAGCTACTTTAAGGAATGGTTACAGTATGGTAAAACAATTTCTGGTGAAGATATTGCATGGACTTTGTGAAATTTTACTGCCTAGCACTTGCTGTTTTTAAAGCTGCAGTTACTAACAAGGCAAAACATAAAGCGGTACCTATTTGAAGACAGACAGTGTTCCTAAATGGGTGGAAGCATGACAGGAAAAGGAAGTGTATCACAGTGTTTTAAATAGCTGTGGTTGATGGAAAAGGGAAGGCTGTTAAGGTTTCTTCCTTTGGAGCCAGGAATGCGGCATTGCCACAATTGTGTCTTCCCAGCATTTGGGATTTATATATAAATGCACCTCTGTGTGTGTTGGCCCTTGTGAGTATATACGTATACACAATGTATATGCTTTTATATGGAGTATATATTTAAACATATAATATTCTTTGTTTCTGTGCAGTGACTTTGGAATTACACAAGCGATAAATATGGCTATGATTTTTTGTGTTATAAATTTGTATTTCCAGCATATGCATTAGGATCTATTTTCATTGAACTTTTTTTTTTTTTTTAACTGCAGTGGATTCCACTGCTTCTTTCCTTCCAAGCCACGTACTGTTTATGTCCTTTTGAAATTTGTTTGTATAAATGAGAACAGACTGGTTACAAGTACACACTTTGGAAATACTTTTGTCCTGTGCTATTCCATCAGCACTTATTACCTATTCTGATATATTTAACAGTGAAACTGGGATGTCTTGACATCTTTAAATATGTGAAAACTTTAAGCATACGTATATTCAAGACCTATAATAATTTCTAATAATTTATCTTGCTTTAGACAATGATTTGTAACCTCTTTTATTTGTGAAAGTTAAAGAATTTCTTTGGTCATGATGTGTGTTGTTCCTCTTTGTACTCAGTGTTACCAAAGCTCATAATTACAGAGAGGAACTGGAAAGCCACTGTGGTAGGAAAATGTTGTTAGCTCTAATTAAAAGTACAGGATTGTCTGGAGAAAACAGCTTTTCACAGCAATGAAAGATAAACTTTTGTCATTTTTAGTAGTCTCAAGAGCTTTTAAGTTCTGCAGGTAGTGCAAATTTTCTTGAACACATTAGTGGGATGATAGTGAAATCATACTAATTATTGGAGAAAGTAACCTGAGAGAAATTTTGTTAGTTGAGGATTATGAGAAATGTTGTCTATGTAAATAGTTGAGAGAAAATGAGTTTGTGAAAAGGTGTTACAGAATATTTGATCCTTTACCTGTCTTTTGTCATTCTACTTTTTGAATCAATTCTTTTTGCTCTTGAAGGTAAACAAAAAAGTTATTTGTGGTTTCATGCACAGGAACTATTAGGCAAGGGTATATATTTATTCTTTGTGAGCTTCGTGAGTGTGTTATATATAATGTTATCTCTATTTATAAGAAAGATGGTCAGTATTAAGGTACCAGCTTTGAAATGTCTGTCTGATTCATACAGGAAGATGCATGCTTTCACATACGGCATATGTGGAACTAATAAAATACAAGTTACCAGGGAAGGTGTGCAAAACTGGAAGTTAATCCAGACGATGCTAAGAAAGTGGGAAGTAGTCACCAAGGAGTTCCTCTGTGTTCATGGAGTTAAGCTTTGTGACATGATTTCCAGAAATCAGGGTCATGGCAGGCAAGAACGTCAAATCATTGAATAGAAAAGTATCTAAATCAGTCAGTCCTCTACTATTGTCTTTTTATTTAGACGCATACATACCCTCTTGCTCTGCATCAAATGGAAAATAAAACCGTGTGTTCAGTATGAAATATAGTTAAGTCAGAGCATTTGATATTCACATGGTTAGTCTCAAACGTGAAATCGGGCCTGAGGGCGAGCTGTAGTGGAATGTTACTTTTGCACCAGTGGTTGTGAAACACATTAGTTACAGAGAAGCATGTGAATGCCAGCTATTAAAAGACATTGTAGCTGTGTTGTACTTTTGTTTGCCTAACCTTGCACGACCGTTCCTTGCCTACCTGCTTCAAGTGTACGTGCAGGTTGGGTTTGTCCCCTGACAAAATATAAAACAGCTGCTTTCTTATGATGTGGCCTTCTGCACGGGGGACAATATGGCATCGGATTTGCATGTGAATAGG